TTTTTTACTTATGTTCAACTTGTCAGCATTATCTAAGTGTTTAGGCACTCTGAGTACTGGTCAAAGCTCATGCAAATGTTTTCAAGTTATTAGTTTGGATTTTGAACTAACTTTAGAGAACTTTGCATGCCTCAAGTAAATTATAATTTAGTTTAAGCTTATATTTAACCAATACAACATTCTTAAACCGAGCATTTGAACATTTAGCCTAATCATTGGAGCACCGTAGTGGTTTTAAGTTCATTAGTGCGCATGTATTTTTATGCACATATGAGATGCACTTGCACAAATTTTGACACACTTTCATACATTTTAAAGCAGTTTTTCATATTAATTATCTAATAATGTGTGCATGTGTTCCAAAATGTCTCTGAATTTTTACCATAGGCATAAATTTAAGGCCCATACAAGAAATTTAGTGTTCTTGCACAAAATTTGAGATTGTTCATCTAGTTTGAAAATAATCTCAAGAAATTTGTAGGTATTGATTGTATGAATATATAGTCATTCAATTATGTGCAATATTTTGTTAAGGGTTAAATTGGTCTCCTTCTATCCGTTCGCCAACAAATGTTGCAAATCCAATGTCAAATAAGCAAAAATTGAAAAATTAACTTGCAATGTTAGATTTGATTTCATTTTATATTCCTAGGCTAAATAACATTTCTAATTTTTGCTCGAGGGGCAGAGTTTATCCCTATATGTAATATTTTATTCAACTACGCCACACAAGATTAATTTTTTAGTCTACAAAAAAGATTAATCAGTTGATTTCATTCAGTTTTAAGTTCAATTGTTCATGCGTTATGAGCGTTCTGAGTATAAAAGGTTCTGATCTTTTCTTGCTAGTGAAGTTTCAAGTCCCTTCTAAGTTTAACTCTAAGTTCACTTTGCTATTAAATTTTATATTTTATTTCGTTTCTTAATAATTAGCATACTCGCACAAGTTTATAGAAGGCTCAACCAAGTTTTATTTAGCTTATATTCAAGTTCTATATAGGTCATCTATAAGTAAGAATATGGCAACCTCCCGACATCATCCATATATAGGGGATGACCTTGAGAAAGCTGGTTGTGCTCACCACACTATGAAAAATGTGTATGAGTTGTTTAAACACCAGAGGTTGGTCTTCATCTCCACCATATTACAAAAAAGTGTGTGAATAATCTGTAAAAAAATCACATAATTTTTTGTCGAGCTACAAAAAGTGCGTATAAATGCATTCTGAGGAATTTCCATACAGCTGCAAAAACTATATGTATAAGATTTACCCGCTATGCTGTATATGAGTGTGTATATGATTCTGCTTGTCATGACAAAGACACCACAATTGGGGTTTAAAGTAATAAAGGTTTCATTTTTATAGCTTTAAGCACTTGGTGATATAAATGACAATAATGAAGCTCAAACAAGATTATATATATATATATATATATATATATATGCAATGACCAAATCACGTTAATAGAGGACTTGAACCATGTTCTTATGGACATGATATTATTTTTAGTGTAAATATAGTAGTAAATTTAATACAACATTAGATCATTGCGAGCTTAAATAAATATTGAATTTATCACCCTCGATAAACTATTACATAATCATCGGAGCTTGATTCTAGATGAGATTCGTCATCTGTTCCTACACCATCTGCTATAAACTCAATGTGATCAATTTTCTACATATAAAAACTCTAAAATTGTTGCAACTACATGTTGAGCAATTAGCATCCTAGTCATTAACCATAATCAAAAGTACTCTCCTATTATTGAGTGGGTAATCATAAGGACTTTTGCCTATGAAAATCCGCGAACTTTAAATTTTCAAGTCCTAAAAAATAAGGGTGAAATTTCCAAGTAATATCTCATCCACAATTTCATCTGCCTTCTTAAATTTTGAAATGTAATCTTAACATTAAACCCTTTTCTCATCTTTAAGGGAGGTTGATGTAAAATCAAATTAAAAAAAAAAAAACAAGTAAAAATTTTGGCACTTCAAAAACATGCCTTTTATTTCGCATCCCTCATAATTTGACAATCAATTTTATAAAAGTCTACACTTGAATCAATCAATTTAATATATAACACTATACATGAATTTAAAATGCACGGGAATATATAAATTTATGAAGTTATAATTATAATTACCTTAAATTAATCCTAATCTTTTTATTACTCTACCTAAACTTTTCACTCTTCCCAACACACTCGTTCTTCCGCACTTATGGTGCATGCAATGGCTGGATTTGATCGAACAGAGGGGATTCAGTGGGATCACATTCATATGCTGCATTTCCCTCATTCTCTCCTCTCCCTATTCTCGGTTTCACTTGGCTCAAGGATTTTGCGATCCGGCACTGTAGCAGGCATTACCGTGTGTCCCACAAGAAGCCGCAAGTGGTGATTCGAGGCTCTAAGGAGATAACTATGAGTGGGAAACCATCTTTTGCAATATTTTTGACATTCATTTCCTTCCCTACGTTTTTTCTTTGACATTTGCTATGAATTCAGGCATTCTGTGATTCTTGTTACTGTAGCTAGTGAACCGAGAGTTACGCTCTTTGCTAGGTCCAGTTCATAGTTAACAGAGAAGGGATAAGGGGAGTGAAGAAAGAAAGGATTGGGTAGGTATCCGAAAAGGTACTTATGCAGAGAAGCCCAGTTGATGTAAAAAAAGTTATGTTTGGGGTTAAATGGCGAAATAAGGCAAGATTTTATAAAATTTAAAGAGCTTTACAAATTCTAGATTATTTACACTAGACGGTGAGCTTGAGGGACTAATCTTAACGCTTCTCTGTTAATTCAGGTCAAATAATCATGTGTTAACTTTAGAAAAATAACTTTATTTTGGTTTCCAAGTTATTATGTGTTTGATTTTATTGAATCTAGAATTTTCTAGATATTATGTATGAATATTTGCATTAACTGTATGAATACAAACTTAATTTATCACTTTCGATACCAATGATTTTACGATGTTTTGAATCTGATGAACATGTTTATGAAATCATTGTTTGCAAGTATTCATTCATTATGATTCATGCAAATGATATATGAAATGCTCATGATAAATGCTTATTATTAGAATTATGATTTAAGAAATGTCATAAGTGGTGTTAAAGTTAGACTGTTATATTAATACTTGTAAGTACATATGGTATGGAATGATCAGGTTCTTGACTTCTAGTATTCAGACGGAGACGAAACTCCAAAAATTTTTGAAATCAGATGACGATAGAATGTAGGGAACTGTTGGTACTAAATGAGTTATTTATAGCTACTATTTTGGGAGAGATTGAAATTGTTATCAATAGTTAAAATATCATTCGAGTTGGGTGACGACCCATAACATGACAGAACATGAAAATAACTGGACTTATACAAATACAAAAGACATATTTATGATTAGATTGATAACTTTCAAAAATATGCTTATGATTACACATGAATGGATGAAATATATTTTTTATACAATAACCATGACACTCTGCATTACATGCATTTTCTTTCATATGTTTTATACAATTATAACAATGTGATATTTGTTGTGGATATAAATTGTTATCAATAGTTAAAATAGCATTCGAGCTGGGTGACGACCCATAACATGACAGAACATGAAAATAACTGGACTTATACAAATACAAAAGACATATTTATGATTAGATTGATGACTTTCAAAAATATGTTTATGATCACACATGAATGGATGAAATATATTTTTCATACAATAACCATGACACTCTGCATTACATGCATTTTCTTTCATATGTTTTATACAATTATAACAATGTGATATTTGTTATGGATATAAATTGTTATCAATAGTTAAAATAGCATTCGAGCTGGGTGACGACCCATAACATGACAGAACATGAAAATAACTGGACTTATACAAATACAAAAGACATATTTATGATTAGATTGATGACTTTCAAAAATATGCTTATGATTACACATGAATGGATGAAATATATTTTATATACAATAACCATGACACTCTGCATTATATGCATTTTCTTTCAGATGTTTTATACAATTATAACAATGTGATATTTGTTGTGGATATACACACAAGTTACGTATGAGCATGCACATTTCTTTTCCATCTATAAAATTTTATTTTAACATTGATTATTCCACTGAACTCTTTATTGCTCACTTTGTGTTACTTTCAAGAAAGGGTAATGGACTAATCAAATGCATTTTGTACAACTTTTACATTTCAATATTTTGGAAGCCTATACTGACTTTTAGGCACGTATTTTATTATATTAAATTTAACAAGTCTGTATCATGATTTTTCGCTCTTTCGAGTATATGCATATAAATAAATTATGAAATGAAATATATCAAATATGTTTTTAATGATTTAGTTAAATTAATTCATCACTCATTGAGTCATAATTCCACAAGTTATGATGAGCATTAGTGAGAATTTAATCTGACTGAATCGTTCATCTCCATTATACTACAGTTGACCTTTTTAAATGAAATGATCTAAGAATGTCATTAATTTGATTTGACATAGAAAATCTCAGAGCTTTTTTTTTTACAGAAACCATACCACTTTTTAAAGTCGAAGCTGTTAAGAAGACTCAGAGATCGTATAATATATACTTTAAAGATAAAATAATAATTTAAAAAAGTAAACAAAATAAGACTGAATAAAAGATACCTTCCCTTTCGTGTCTAACTACATGGCAACCAAAATAGTTGAAGGAGAGCAACTGACACCGGGCACAGTACATAAAGAACTTCAAAATAATAACAGAGTACCAGAAAGTTTGAACCATAGTATATTAAAGAGGCATTCACATACATACTCCCAATTCTTAAATATTTACATATCAACCACCTAAACTCTGATATTTATATGCATACCACTCAATTGTCAATTCTTTAACATCACACAAAAAATAGCACGGTTACTAATATTTTTAAAAATGAAATACACATTTTCATGCATAGATTTATAACATCAAATCTTAGGTATCGGACATGTAAATACATAAGAATAGCGTGGCATGTATGTAAATTTCCATATATTAAAACATGTTGCAATAGTGCCAAATATCAAGCTAGATTTCAAAATAGAAGCAGCAGCTGACATAGGCATTGAGGATAATAATTTTCTACCACCCCACATAATTACTTTGATTTGGAGGGGCCAACAAAGACAAAAACTACAGGTCAGTGCTATGTGAGGTTCTACAAGATTGACTATCAAAAATTCCTAAAATTTACAACCATATCTCTAAGTTTGAGGTCATGAGAAAGATGCCATGGCCTTACGCTTTGGCTCAGTTAGCAGGCCTAGGTTTGCTTTGCTTTCGCTTCCTTGCATTTCTGGGTAGATCTTCTGGTTTACTCATTGGAGCTTGAATTGTAATGTGTGATGATTGATTCTCACAAGATGAATCCTCTGTTTCTTTTGACTCTATAGAAAGGGCTTTTCTATCTTTAGCTTGAGTTGATCCCACAATAGCTTTTACAATGTATATCTGCCAATTCAGCCCAAAAACTTGCAAATAATTCCAAATTTTTAAAAATTGGAGATGTAAAAGGTTTTTACCAATTTTGTTCCTTTGATTATTTGTTCCACACTAAAAGCTGAATGGCGTAATTATGCAGAATTGTAAGAAAAAATGCTTAATGATTAGAAGTCACTTTTTCTAATGAAAAGATAAATAAGAAGGAAATGAAAACAAAACAGAGGAGCATATTAGCAGCACGTGGTTAGCGGGAGAAATGGCATACTCTGGATCTCAACATTTAAGTTACAAAAATTATTAGGAAGCGACACAAGGCAGACAATCCGATCCGCTAGAATTACAACCAATCTGCATCGTCTGCTTATGATGAGATGTAAGAGAGATGCAGTTCATGGCGAATTCACATAAACATATATATATATATATATATATAATTTGAAGAAGAAAATTGCTCAAACTTCTCTTTTCCAAGCACCTTTTCCATCTCAGCGTTATCAGAGCTTTAATAACTGTTTGCTGTACATCTTCACTGAGATACCTTTACAAACTTTGTTCTCAGGAATAACATTAATTTATTTTTTGTTATTTATGTTAGAATGCATTCATTACCTTCCAACGCCAGCAGCTCTAGGCTATAATCAGGAGACAAAATGATGCGGCTGCTGGCAGGGCAGGCTGGACCGGCCAACATCCATAGATGGGGCTTTCGCTCCCGCTCTTGCTTGTTGTGTTAATCTAGTTGTCTCTAGAAATTGTTTATGTATTTTTGCACATTTTTCATGTGGATTAGGAAGTTTTGAAAACCGTTTTGTGGTTAGGTGGTTAGGAAAACCGTTGAGTGGTTAGTTAGTTTTATTTTCAGAAAAATGTGATGTATTTGCTTATAAATTAAACCAGAAAATGTAGAGGGTGTGAACTACTAAATAAAATTCCTCCATTTTTGTTGGCGTTTAAAGTTTGGTTTTGAAAACCAACATTTGGTATCAGAGCGAAGGTGTCAAAGAAATGGCCGGAAATGATGGAGATCCATCTA